CATGTCCATGCTCAATGGCATGTGGAAGGTAGGATTTAAGAACCATCAATATCAATGAGGATATATGGTGCAAGAAATATCTAAGTAGCAAAGACCTAGGGTACATTGTGGCTTCTTTAGACTTAATTTAAATTTTTTTTAATGATTTAAAGATAATTTACWATTAAAAGGAAAAAGAACTTAGAAATTTGAAGGATTCTAAGCCAGGCCATATGGTAGAGAATGAAAAACTATTTGGGGAGAGGAAATAAGGAGGTGGCCAAGCGAGTGACCTCTAGATAAAGACATCAGAATGGACAGGATTAAGGCTGAGGCTTGTTTATCAGGACAAAGGGAGAATGACTGACTCCAAAAGCACTTCAGATATTATTGGGGCCTCTGATCACAGGCCCAGGGGAAGGAAATATAGAAAGAGAGGCCCTAGGGCATCCTCAGACCTTGGCGTTCACTGCCCAGAGCCACTTCAAATCTTTGCTTCCCATTTTCTAGTTCTTTTATCTTGTACTTCACAGCCTCTAGAAGTATGAGGAATAAATTTCTCTTTTTCATAAATTTTCCAGTTTCAGGTATTCTGTTATATCAGCATCAAATGGACTTAGACAAAGGGTATGTTTATAGTGAATGGGGTATTGAATCTTTAGTGACTGCAACAGGTTTTTATAATATTTTGAAGTGGAAGATTGAAAGTTTTGGAACAGATGATATCTTAGTACTCTCATTCTAAAGAGAGTTTCTGATTTTGGAGAAAAGCATTGGTAATAGGTAAATAGGTAAATTTTAAAAAGTAACATACACTTGACATCACTCATTATTTTAATGTGCTTTTCATATTTAAGATATATTCACTTGAATTAAAGAAAAAAGACTTTTTAAGTATAAAAAAATAAAAGTAACTAAAGATTGAAGAGTATGATTAACTAAATAGAGGTTATATAAATAACTATAATCAACATACAGGCACACAGACACTGATACAATATACACACCCACACATACACACACACACACCCCACATACACACAGAAGACAATGAGAGCAGGGTCTCAATCTTTATATACAGTTATGATGTGAAGATTACTTCTCCATATGGTGGTGTATTTAAAAAAAAGTGTGTGTATTTGATTTCAGTAGGCTTAAATGAAAAACTACAGTTATTTGAGGGATGGGAAAACCATAGGACACTTTACCTATATAAAAGTATAGACATAAACATATTAGCATTTGAACACAGCTAGACCTGTAAGAAAATATCTTTCAAGACCCTTATTTTACATATTAATATGGGACTAAGAAAGTTTAGGTCTGAGTCAAACTGAAATCCTTTAATATGCAGGCCAGTGCTTTCTCTTTTTGTGATATATCATTTGTCTTAGGAAAGATCRCTGGTAACAATACTCTGCTGTTTGACCTCATATATTTGTAGATATTTCATATTCCAAATAGATTAATTTCTTTCCTGATTTACAGAAGAATGCCCTTTAAACAATAAGAACTGAATAAAACAGCATTAATTGCTCAAAAATTGGTATTAATATTGATCATTTGTAGATCAATTATGGGTATAGCAATATAAAGTAACTGGGATTAAAAGAAAATGTGATTTTTAAAGGCCATGTGACCATTAGAGACTTGAGAATATGAATATTACAATGAGCCACGGATTAATTATCAAGTACTTTAGTTAATAGTATTCCAGCAGAACACCTGTTCCTGTTCCTACCTTCCAGCTTCCACGTTTTGCTTTTTAAGGCTTTAATCTGCATCACTCTTTTAGACCTGAATTTGGGCAGCTGGGGCCACTCCAGGGAACCAGAGGTACCTATAATATTTTACTGCATGCTATTTATACACTTCCACAAAGACCTGTAGCTAATGATTGACTGGAACCAAAGTGGGGAAGCCCAGCSTCTGTCTCCATAGACTAACTCTGAGATAAAATTTAGACTCTAGAACTTTCTTGGGCACATTGAACTTGACTAGCATCTTCCTTTGTAGTCCTACTTTTCTTGCTCTTGCTCTTTTACCAGTTCTTCTGGATTCCTTCTTTATTAATCTCTTGCACAAAAATCCTTGTCATAGGGTCAGCTTTGGGGCAGACAATTATAAAGACAAGTACTAAAGCTATTTAAGATCCATCCATTCATCCATCCATCCATCCATCCATCCATATTCACTCAGGCTCTGACTTAGCACCTCTGCCCCACCCCCAAATAAGCAACACTCTATTACTCATATAATCATACACAAATACACAGATGAGGGAATATCTGTTTTCTAAAACTGGAATCATATGTATGTATACTTTTTCATCTTGGTTTTATTATTGAGCAATGTTTTGATTCTTAAAACAAAAAGAATTAGATTTTAAACTGAGCTTTATTGTAAGCTGTCCTAGTTATTCCTTATAAAAATATTTTCTCAGAAGGAGAAACCATATTATAGATGCAGATATGTAAAATGYATACTTATAATTTGAGAACCTAGTAGGAAAAAATTTCAATGCTGTCAATCATGCTCCCTGAAAGGTTTGATATTGCAACATCTTTGGCTGCTTATACCTTGTATATTTAAGTATGAAAAGAAAATTATTTTTATTTATTTTTTTATACAATTCCCATGCTCTTGTTTTCTGGTTCTAAATATTTTGCTTAAATTATATTTTAAATACTTATTAAATGCTTTTAATTTTTAGATCTGATTATAATTAAACTTTATAACCCACCAAAAGKGCTGATATCTTTTTCCCCCATTTATGACATCTGTAACATAGGAGATTTATTGACTTATTTTCCTGGTCACAAGCATAATCAGACTCAGAACATGAATTGGGAATCTCTGGTTTCCAACTTCAGGTAGAATTTTCACTGGATTGCTGCCATTTTTTTTAATAAAATAAATACTTTTATAATGTATACTTTCAATTTAAAATAAAATACAATCAAAGCAAATGATGCACATCTAAGAGTAAATATGGATAATATATTGATGGCAATTTTTAAAGAATTTTATTGATTTTCAAATTTTAATTAGAAAAACTTTTTTAATTGAATCTATATGATTCTGGGAAATCTGCAGATTATTTTCATTCTTACATGAAGTATAACTGACAATAAAATGAGTCAGTGTTTTTTTTTGTGTGTAAAATATAACACAAAATGTTCTTATAAAACAGAAATATTTTGATTCTGAAAAGTTTTCTTGTATAAATGTGTTCTTTGCATTTAGATGATCACACATTTTGAGTACATGAAGATCTATTTAAACCATTAAACCCAACATATATTTCTTCTTGTGACACATGCTACAATACAGTTTGAAAGGTTAGGCCAAGTGATTACTGATCACATGCTGGCATAGCTAATGTGCAGAATCTGCCATCCAATTTAAATTCAGTGAATTATTTTTTCTTAAACTATGGCTGTATCCTTGTCTGTTAATTATAATGYCACTTTTATCGACTACAATGATGCTGACATTACTTAAATGCCAAAAATGGATATAAGCAAGTGAATGAGTCACCTGTCCTTTATTCAATTACATTTACCTAGAAACAGAATAAAGGTAGGTTTCCATCTCTCCCCTTGCCATATATTTCTTTACAGTAAATCTAAATTTACTTATGATGTTTCTATTGATGCTCATGAAATGATACCCCAAAATATGCTGCTTTGGACTTCAAACTGAGAGCACCTGAGGAGCTGCAAATGAATGTGTGTCTTCCTCTGAGCATCCCTTATCTATCTGAAGACCAGATCTGCTATGGAGGAACACAATTATCTTCAATGCCACTGTTCCACTTTCAGAGTAAGAGACTGAAAATTAAACACCACATGGAGAACACAGAGGAACTTTGTCCCAGGCCACTGGATCTACTTTTCCTGTGAAAATCATTTATTACCTCTCTGAAATTGCCTACATCTCCTACTTCACTACTCCTCATTGTGAAAATATTTAAGTGTCAACCAACTGGGCCTTCTTTGAATTTTATATTTTTTGTGGCTCCTGTGCATACATGCATGGCAATACAATTATATGCCCTTTCTGCTGCTAATCTATTGCCAGTTTATTTCAACAGACTCAAATATCAAACCTTCAGGGGGACAACTGGAACTTCCCTATATTCCTTTGTTTCTAGTAAATTACAGAAATGCAAGACATTCTTATTGTGGTAAACCACTGTAAATTATGTATGTTTTATACATTAACTGTTTTTTAAAAAATAATGTTCCCTTTGTCAACATTTTTGATGTAACACTCTACAATGAGACATTTCAAAGTTAACTATGTGCTCTGCTATAGTATCTACAGCAACAATGTCATAATGGTGAGAAACACAGGGGAAAAACATAAAAAGAACATCAAAAAATATAATTGAGCAAATAAATAATTTGGAAAATTATGATGCTGGAGTATAATTTTATATGACAAAATGGAAATTAGGGTAGATAACTGATTTTCCAACCAAATTTGTCTTAGGAGAGTCTTATAAAATAAGAATGTTAAGAGAATATTTAATTCATTTGTTATTTTCATTTTTCTCTTAAGATATCCTCTTCAAATTACAGTGAACAATAACTTTAAATTCATTKGCAAAGGATATGTGCTCATCACTCATTTTGGGTCATAGGAATTCAATTTTATAATTCTAAACTGAATTTTAGAAACARTGTTATAGCAACAAAATTGTAAGTTGAAGGAGTTTATTACTCAATGTTCTTTACTGCATTATAAAACTCCCTAGAGGAGGTCATAATAAATATGAACATTTGTCATCTTCTACTTTAATAAAACAAAATAAATTAATTGGTAAGCTATAATCACAATAGTAAGTTAGGGAGAATTCAAAGGAATAATGAGTATGAGATTAGCCCACCCCYCAAAAAAAAGTTTAAATTAAAATAATATAGTATAAAAAAATGTTTGATATATACATATACATATATATGTATATGTATATATACATTTATGTAGGTTTTTAGAAAGCTCCAAATAAGACCTACTTTCTCATAGTACTTGATCTCGTAGTCCAGAATGGCTCCATTGGAGAAAGCAGGTGCTTGCCATGATAGAGCAATGCTATTTTGGGATGCCCAGTCCTTCCTTACCATACCTATTAGAGAAGGTGCTGAAAGGAAAGAAAATAACTAAGAATTAATTTAYAGGAATCATTTTTTGAATGATCTTTTCTTTCATATTTTTCTCCTGAAGAAAGCACAGTACTTATTGAAGAGGACACCAATTGTTTATACCAGATTAAGAAGATGGCCTTAGGATATACTCTATTCAGTCTAAATAAGGCTATTTAATAAGAAACACTATTAAGGAACAGGAAAAACTCAAATATTCCAAGGACAAGAGCCAGAATTCATCATCTTTGGTCTCATTAGACAAGGGCCTTATTCCTTAAACTTTTTTTTGGCATTGAGTTATGTCATGAAGTACAATACACTTGGTTCCTGTATTTTATAAAATCTATATTTACTATCAGAAAAACAACCAATCTCTGCAATTACAAGATCACTCATAGGCTTTTCTTTCTTCTCAAGAAATCTTAGTTCTTTATAAACAATCTACTTTATATTTACAATGAATTGTTTTTATCAATGCAAAGATTATTTTGTTTGCACAGTTTCAGTGACATCTGGATAAAATTGAAATGTTTAACTGCACAAGTTTATTTTCAGAATCTGGTCTGTTTTATTTTCCTATATGACACTATGTTAGCAATACAAAATTAACCTAAAATAACACATGTTATACTTCTAATATTTAATTCAAATGTTTATATTGCAGATTAATTTCTTTGTATCTTTCACAAAATACTTTTCATGTTTAAGTATTCTAATTTTTTAAAAAGAGTAGTGTTTGAACATAAAAGTTAAAAATCATTTGTTTAAAAAAATTCAAATTAAATTACATTGAGATATCATATCTCAGAGTGGAAAAATCCAAAATTTTAATAACATACTTTGTTAGCTATGTTGTGGGGAAACATAATTTAATGTACTTAAGTGTTTTTTAAGCAAAATAATACACTTTTATGAAAGTAAACTCAATAATTAATGCAAAATACATATTCATTTATAGTTTTTTAAAAAAWTTTTTGGACTATTCCACAGATACTTGGCACAAATACAAAGAGTCATATTTACAAGACCATTCATTGAGACTTTATTTGCAAATATTGGAACAATCTAGATGTCTGTCAATGAGGGATGTTAAGTGAGGGATGTTGTTGTTATTAAGAAGTAGAAATTTTCCCCATAGGAGGAAGGGAATGTAAGCTCAATGAAAATAAATAAAAACTTAAAAGAATCCCTAAGAACTCATGATATTTTTTTCCAATTTATTCTCAGAAATTTTTTAAATTATGCCAATCACAGATGAAAATTTGGCAGAATGTGATACTTTAAATTTTTTAGGAAAAAAGTACTGAAAGTTTGGTATTTTATATTAAAAACTGCCTCCATGTCTTTAAGAAAAGGGTTTTTTTTTGTTTGTTTGTTTATTTGTTTTTAAATTCATGACATTAACAAGTTTAATTTTCCTAAGGGAACTTAAGAAATTATATTTAAAACTCTTTTTGGCTGTCCAGTGAGAAAGTTATATAAATCATATTCTTAAAATGTTATGTCACAAATTACATAAAACATATCCTTAAAATGACAGATAATCATGTAAGTTACTCAAGAAATAGAAGTTTGTCTTATGAGCTAAAACAGAAATGGATAGTATGATAAATATGGAAAAGCATTGAGAAATAGTTCACTATTTAAATTGAGACACATTCACTATTAATAAATTACCACTAATAAATTTATCCCTGTTGGAAACTGCATTAATGTTCTCACAGAACAGCGTAATAATGTATTAAGTGGTGCTTTATGGATAAATTATAACTTTAAAGTGATCATACAAATTAGAAGTTGATTTAAGCATATAAATTCATTWCAATTTTGAACACTTCATGTCTAAAATCTTATGGTTAATTTTCAATTTAATGTGCAGTGTCATAAAGCAATATTACCAGTGTATTGCATTTTACCTCACAATTATTTAATACCCAAGGTCAGCAATAAAATCCCTGTAAAATTCATACAAAATCTAGCATGATGGAATGACTACTCTGTAAAATGTAGATATCTTTTTTCTATTTCTAATTCTCCAATGGTCAATTGTACATGACCTAAATTTTATAAATCCCATTCTATATTTCTGTCAAACAGAACTAATGAAAATCTATTTCCTAATCTATAGGTTCTACAGTTAAACATGAGCTTTAGGGTCCAACATTATGGTAAGCTCTAAATTCTCTTCACTTTTGTATATTCCTTTCACATGTAAATATCCATATTTTACATAATTGTTAAATATACATAATTTTAAATAATTATATTTATTTTAATAACATATTGTAAACAACATTTTATATTTTTAAATAGTCTATAATAATAGATAAATATTTACTCTACTTCTGGAAATCTAGCTTTTGAAGAAAATCTGCATCAATATACTTAGGCATACTTTTTAAAAAATATTTTTTAGCTATTATCAGTGGTGTTTATTTTTTATTTATTTACATGTGGTGCTGAGAATTGAACCCAGTGCCTCACACATGCTAGGCAAGCACTCTGCCACTGAGCCACAATCCCAGTCYGTTAGGCATACATTTCAATCAGTTCATAAATTAAAGGATGTATTCCCTAATGCAACATTTTCTGTTTTCACATTTAAAGCCAGCACAATATAGAATTTCATTTTAAAATGAGGCTTCAATATATATAAGCATTCATTTTGAACATATTTAATGAATTTGTTTTCATAATGACCCAAGTTTATGTAACACCTGCCACATTGTGATAGCAATGTAGGACCAGTGAATATACAACAGAAAATAGAGCATACATATTTATTTCCCCACATGAGAAAAGTGATTTTAGGACATAGATAAACCATTATTGATGTATTCCTGATTAAAAAAAATAGTGTGCATGGGTAGAGCTCAGTGGTAGAGCACTTGTCTGACATGCATAAGGTCCTGGGTTTGATCAACAGAAATGCAAAAAAAAAAAAAAAATGAAGAAAAAAATAAATAAAATCAGAGAAAGAAACAGGCAGTGGAGTTTGTCAGATCAGAGGCTGACTGAAAAACAGAAGCAGTGCTTCCTGAGCAAGAATTACTCAGGAATTACTTAGTAGAATTGCACAATAAATTGCATAAATATTATGCAATTCTATATACATCTTCTCTTAAGCCTTCAAATCTTAGTTTTGATTTAGTTAATTCTTAGTTCACTATGAAAAAAGTGAACGTTAAACAGATTACCACATTCTTGGAAATGTTTTAAAACAAACCTTGATTACTACATTAACTGAATCTCAAATAGTTCACTGAAAATTATACAACAAAAATTGGAAAAAAGTCTATGCACAGGAATTAGTTAACAAAAGAGATCTTATTAACAAGTAGATGAGCATTATTTTCATATGCTTATATGGAGATACTTGAAGAAAGAGTAAATTACTCTAGTTAATTATTGTGTTCTAAATTAAGATTCAATTAATTTTATTAAAACATTTACTATATATCGTGTCTATTATCTTATTTCAGTCTCACAAAACTAGGACATTAAGGTTGTCTCCATCTTAAAGATGAGTAAACTGAAGCTCAGAGGAGTTGAGCAATCATTTAGTGAGGAGAATTGAAGGTGAATTTTAATATTAACTCCAAGTGTCAAGAGAGAATTGAAAAATTAATGTTTCTGTATTTCCCCAAAATTAGTTCTAATTTACTATTGTAATATGTTCAAGATTAAAATCCATGCCCCAAACTAGAAGCAAGGAATGAATTACACTACAAAGAACCATCTTGCCTTTTGAATACGTTACTATTAAAAATCACACTGTGGATTATTAAAAGTATGTCTTATATCAAGAATTTAATCAAGGTTTATGATATCTATTTTTCTAAAGCTATATTAAATATTGTTGATCCTCCACCATCTACTGAGCTCATAAGACCTGTAGGTTTACACACTGGGATATGTGCAGTATGCGTGCTGATTTGTGTGTGTGGGGGGTGCAAGTCTAGATGAGAAAAACAGGGAGTGATAGTACACACATATGTACTTGTTTGTGATAGAGAACCTCAGCAGTGAATGCTAAGCAATAGAGTTATAATATTAGAAGAGAACTCCATATTTTGTTTTATTTAACACAGAAGCTCCCTCATTCCTGAAGTTGATAATCCACATTTTGTTTCAGCATTTGCGTAAGTGAAGCACACTTCTTTACAAGTCTCTMCTATCTGTTTCTTTTTGAACATCTTGAATTGCTGATGAGTTCTCATAGTCATTGTCTTCCTGTAATTTCCACCAAGACCCTAGCTCTGACCTTTCACATAAACAGAACTAACTCTTTACTTTTCCTCATCTGCCATCCTCTTCTTCTCTCTCCTTTCCCCACCTCACTTCTTCCTATCTCCTTTCCTTCCTTCCTCTCTCTTTTCTGCATTTACTTTTCTTGTCCTTTTTATTGCCTCTTTATTCCTTTCCTTTCTTCCATTTGCCCCTTTCAGGAGAGGTATGTTTGTGTGTGTGTGTGTGTGTGTGTGTGTGTGTGTAGTTTAACAGAAGTATAATCAACAACAAAGTGAAATGTCAATAAAGAATGATCCTATAATAAGTAAATAAAAAGTACAGGCTAGAATGTTCAAATCAAAACCATTTTTATCCAGTCTCATTCATTGTTAACAACTATCAATGAGAATAATTGCAAAGCAAGAGCATGTAATGATGTTTCTCCCTGTTTGCTTAGGACAAGGCACCATAATCAATACCATAATTTTACTTGGGAAATTTTGTTGATTTGATACATGGTTATCTTATGAATTGACATTTTTGAAAACCTGATAGCATGCTCTAAAATATTTCTGATTCATATGTAGTTTTAGAAACATTTATTGAATATTTTWAAAAATTTTTTATTTATATGTGACAGCGGAATGCATTACATTTCTTATTACACATATAGAGCACACTTTTTCATATTTCTAGTTGTATACAAAGTATATTCATACCAATTCGTGTTTTCATGCATGTACTTTGGATAATAATGATCATCACA